AAAATCTTAGTGGAGGATTTTTATCTTCATTTTCTGTGGAAAAATTAAAGAACAAAAAAAGGTTATTTGCTGTATTAAATGCATGCACTGTCTATAAAGCTGTAGATGAGTTTATACCAAGGAAGCAAAATTGGTGAAGAGAATAATTCTGTTATTGGGGAAAAAATGGTGATATGTAGTTGAAGTTGCAATGATGTGCTGGATTGAAGAAAATGCTCTGTTTTATTGCTGCTCACAGCATGTGCTCCATGAAGAGATATTGATTTGCATGGTCAGGTACACCAGTGAGTGTGTGAGGAGCACCTTGTGACAAAAATGCCTTCTGGGCCAGTAAATCTGGGCTCTGCAGTCTGTTAGATGGGGCATGGAGGAGCAGAAAATGGTGTTGTGGCTCTCAGAGATGAGATTCTGCCCAGTTTGCACTAGCAAAGCCGAAACCCATATCAGGATTTTTATCAGGATATATCATGTGTTCATTTTTTCTATACCCCGTTTGATGTGCCGTAACAAGAACACCAATAAGAATGGTAGAAGAAAAAAACCAGGCTATTCGTAAGAGCGGTGCTCAGGCAGTGCCATCTGAGAGCTGCGAGCACGAGAGCTGCTGTGCCAGGATTTATGGGCTGTTACACACTCTCTTATTGTTTTGCGCCTTTTTTTGCAAAGCACAGTGGCCGTAAATTGGCTCAAAGCATCCAGATCTTATTGCTGTATCTGCTGTCAAGTTTTAATTTTGGATCTTGGTCGCGTTGTGTTTTCCAGCTTTTTCAAAGACTTGGAGGACTCAGGGACGTAATAGAAATATCTCGGTGAAGAGGAGTCCCAGTAAAGGGCAGCATGGATAGCACAAAGGAAGGAGACTACTTCTTTTAGAAACAGAGACTATCTTCACTGTGAAGGGACCCACAATGGTGCTCATGCATGAAGTACTTGGGTGTTTGTGCATGATATAATTGCCAATGTAAACTCCACAAGTTGGTGATTACCCAGCCCAAATTTGTACCACCCACTGCATGATGGGTTCAAGTCCTGATGACAGTTTTGCTCCTGTCACCAGAGGTTTCAAACTCGATTTTTTCATGGTCACTGTGGCCAGGACAGCCAATAATCGTGAGAACCTCTCTGTTAACAAGCAACAAACCAGGGAGGGCACATTCTCCAGTGGGCTCCCTCAGCACCTGCACCATGTGATTCTCATCCAGGTGCTTTAGGGATCTTCTTGTACCAGCAGTGTGGTGTTCCCAGTTAACACTCCCAGTCAAGTAGCTTTCCTCAAATCCAGTGGGCAAAATACAAGTGAAACTGGGAGGAATTTTGCTTTATTTCACAATATTTCACTTCCTATTTCACAATTAGGAAGAATTATGTTTAATGTCACTCAGAGTTCTAAGGTGGAGTTTTTCAAGGCAGTTGTTTAACGTCTGCAGACAAAATCTTCCACCAGCAGTTGTTTGCACAAGGCTCTGTTGCAGCACAGACGTTGTGGTAATGAGATGAGACTTATTATGAGACTGAAATTAATTTCTTTGTTAAATTTATCTGTATAGAGCAGTTATAAAATTGCTTACAGCAATCAAGATCCTGGTAGCTTGCCAGCTTTTTTTTAACAGATAAGCAGTTTGGAAATAATTATTTTCCAGTACTGTCATTGAAGTTGAGAATATTTTTGTTCCTCCTACTCTTTCAGCTTTCTTTTTAATTAAGGCTGGGGAGGGGGCACATTTCTAGAAATGTGTAATGAACAGGCTGTGAATACCAAGTGTGAATATTGTACTTTCTCCTTTAAAGTGTTCCTGTGAGACATTGCAACACTTAAGCAGAACAACTTCTGTACTGTTCTGTTCTATTTTTAGTGATACTTAAGGTATCTTGTAACCCATATGTACAGTGCTCTTAAGTATATCTATCCATGTGTTATATGCATCTTTTTATTTAGCTGGGAAAGAACATCTATGCTCTAAAGTTATGTGGAAACTAAAATTATGGAAAACTAGTTATTGGACATGTTAAATTGCATTTCACATCTCTAATCAAGGTGGTTGTACCTCAATGCAAATTCGAGAAGGGAATGTAAAGAGTACATTACATCCTCATGGGGTTATCCTGTGGTTTTTAAACCAAGATCCTACCGCAGTTGCTGTGTGGACCATAAGGTCACCCTGAGGTGCTGAGAGGAATACTGGCCTGCCTCTGCCAGACTGGAAGGGCTAAAAGAAGGGGTAAAAAAAGAAGACCAAGGTAGGACATTGAAATCTGCAGGCTGTTACTTCTTGAGTTCAATTGCAACCTACTGAATTTTTTTACTACTTATTTTTCCCTCTGTGTGAACAAAAGAGAACTGTGGGTAAGTTAGAAAAATTACTTGGGTGGCCTGTTGGTTTCTAAACTTAGTAACTTCTTAAAATATATCCCCGAAGTCAAGAATAAAAGGTTTTTATGAGAGCAACAGAATTACAGGTAATATGTAATAATGATTGATGAAACAGAGTGGGAAACAAAGCAAACAAAATAACTTTACTATCTTTGTTCTTTTTTCCTCTCATTTAGTTAAGAATGCTTTTGATTATTTGTAATGCAGTAGCTTTCAGAAGCAATGACTAAGTGTGGCAGTTAATAAGACATTAATAAAAAGAAAAATAATTAGGAAATATTATCAATGCAATTGTATAGAGGCACCCATTCTTTGGATTTTGCATTTCATTGACAGAGACAGCAAGGACAGACCTCTCTACCCAACAGCCCTAGAATTGTTCTGGACCGGCTTCAGAAGGAATTTTCCAGAATAAATATTTCTGTGTGGATCTTTTGCTACAGAATTGAAATTCAGCCTTACTTTTCAAATTACAGGTCTGTGAAGAAACAGAATAGGTAAAAATATGAAAAATGGACCGGAAAAGAAGTCAAGGCAGGCTCCAGCCAACATGAAGTGGGTTTGACCACATTAAATAGATTGGTAAATTTCTTGATATTTTCCATTCCTGTATTAAATCCAGGAGCACCCATGAGTCCCTAAGATGCGTGAGTGGGTGTCTTCTTCCATCTCAGTGTTCTCTGAGCTGAGGAATAAGACCTACACTATGTCCTTCTAAAACACCCTTAATTCACATTAAAGACTCCAGAGCACTGGATCAGAAACTTCAAAGTAATCCCTGGGGTTTCTTTCTGCATCGCAGTCTGCCTTTGGGATTTAACTGTCATTTCCCCCTTGCATATCTGCCATTCCAAAGCCAGCACGTAAACCTTCTTTCCAGAAGAATTACCTGTACGAAAATGATTCTACCAGTTCTGAACAGCTCTGTGGTTGGATGCCACACATACCTTTCTCACTCCAGTCGCTCTGTTGCAAGTCTCAGTGGGTATTTATTACAGTGGAACAGCTGTAAAGAATTAACTACACTGACTCTCAAAACATTTAGTTTATAGAGATGCATTTTTTTTGCAGGACATAAAGTTTTAGCTTCTTTAACATGGCAAAGGATAAGAGCGGAGGGAGAAGATGCAGGCAGGAGCTGGGAAGTGAACTGTCCAAGGAGCAGCCACTGGCTTTGCCTTCTGCAGGGCTGCTCAGATACCAAGGGGGTTGTGTCAGTGACAGCAAGGGTGCAGTGCTGGCATCTGGCAGGACACCCTTCCCCTGGGAGGGAGATGGGAAAGAGAAGCATCACTGGCAACTTGGAGAGCCTGAAGGGCAGGCAGAGGGTCATAAAGTGACTTTGGGGGGAAGCTGGCAGATATTAGGGTGTTTTTGAGAGGTGAGTGCTGGTGGAGAGTGTGCTGTACACTCAGGAGGGATTGGGCCTTCGTGGTAAACACGGCATGAGAAAGGGCAGCGCAGGAAAACAGGGCGGACACGGGCAGGCCTGAGCAGAGAACTGCAGTGATGATTGAGTGGTGCAGTGATGTGGTCAGTGAACTTACCACACCATGTGCATAAGTTAAGCTGCAGAACTGGGCTGGTGAAAAACAGATTTCCAGGCAGGTGAGAGAGATTTTAAGATGAAAAGTACAGCAGAGTAAGACTGCATCTAAAAACTCCTTTCGTCATCTGTGTAGTTTGTGAACTAGTGATGTGCAGTATGAGAGACACTGCACGTGGGTCACCCTGGGGGCTTGCAAGTGCCTCTGGTCCCTGTGTGTGTTCACAGCTGCCTTGGCTTGGAACTCAGCAGGAGTGTTCAGACTATCCTGTTTCTGGCAGGCTGCATCTCCTTGCTGATGGCTTCCTTAGCCAGAGCAATAAACACAAGCAGGAATGCAGATGGAGGCAGTCAGTCTTTGGCCTGACCATAAGACTTTCTCAGCTATAAGAATAATTTCAGAAGAGCAGACTAAGGGAAATATTTTTTGCTTAATAGGTTACAGCTCTCATCAGTCACATACCACACAACACAGAATTTTATAAACTGTTGCACTTTGCCTGGATATAAATGGATTGTAACTGATAACCCATAAAAAATTAATAGTTTGCTGTAAGTTTTTTTAATGGAGTAAAAAATATTGCAGTAATGAAAAAGCTGACATTTTAAGGACTGCTAGAGCAGCAGATTCATCAGGAGAATGTACTAGCAGAACAGCTATGTGTATTCTTGGCTTTGTATGACAGACCTATCATCAGGAGACGGAAAATGTTTACAGAATAAGGATAATCAAAAATTGGGGGTAACCAAAAGTCCAGGAAATGGAAATTGGGACTACGTGAATTTGTAAGAGATTGAGATTGAAGGGGGAAAATAAAGTGTTATCTAAAAAATGACTGAAAGCCAGTACTTTGGCAGAGTTTCATTCCTGGGTGCTCTTGGCCTGTTCTTTAGTTTGTATGATAGATACTGTGCCAAATGGTCTCACCATAGGGCTGCATGATCAAAACAAAGAGCTGAGCCTGAGCTGTTTTATTGCCTTTTGCTCTTTGAGTATTTCATTGACCATTTTCCATTCAAGTTAGATGGGATTTTTATAAACCTCAAAGTCATTTCGTTTTCATGACTCCTGCTTTCCTCGAGAGGTGTAACCATTTCCTCATGACAGAAGGAATCACGGGGGAAGTGAAACAATGTATGGCCTAATCAATATTGGTAAGTGAATGCCATTGACTAATTGATCTGTGTCCTCCACGGAATTTTTCTTTGCAGCCTGTTACCATAATGAGTGGTCTGCACAGCAGAGCTGCTCTAGACAGAAGATAAAGGCTTCTGGTGAAATTGAGCCTTTTCAAATGTAAAAGTACTGAAAATACTGGAGCCAAGGGCTATTTGTTTTTTATTAGATGCAGCTGTCTTTCTAAATCAGCACCAGTACTTCCTTAAATTAAGATATGCAGTAAACACTGGAATTATTATTGACATTGTTTAACTGTAGCACAGGTAGTTATCTCTGTCCCCCTTTGCTATTTTTGAGGACTTGTTTACTGAGTTCAACAGTAAAATCCTATGAATAATTAAATGCTTAATTTTTCTCAGAGAGAAAAAATAAGGTAAATACTGTTTTCTTAGGTAATTCATGGTTATGAATTGAATGACTTGCTTAAAATCAATGTTTATAAATTATGAATAGGTTTTTTTTCAAGGCACCCTATAAATACTAAGCTGATTGAAAGAAACAGAGAACATACTAATGGAAATATGTCTTTAGGTAGTGGTAAGATTTTTGTGTGTATGTTCCAATTTATATGACATTGATTTCACACTTTCACTGGTGACTGAACACACATGAGCAGGTGTTCACATAACTTCCCTCTTGCTCAGATGCTGCTCAAGACCCCCATTGCAAGTGTCTGTCTGACATCTCTTCGCCATGCAAACGCCCTGCATGTCTTTGCAGGATTAGGACCCTCATTTCCCAACTGTTGGTTCAGACAACTCTTTCTACACTGTATATGTCCCACCAGGTACTCTTGTGCTGAATCTGCACGTGTGCCCTGCATCAGGGTGGCACCTTGTCTGATTGGGGCAGAGAAGGCACTACCCAGTTACTGCTGGCAGACAGTGGCTGTGTTGGAAGCAACTTATTTTATAAGGGCAGGAGGAAGGATGAAATTGTTATGTGTTTATGGCATAGAGTTAGGCAATTTTGCCCTTAGGTGACCCAAGTAACTTTTGTTTATTACATTAGGCATAAGAGATGGTGGAAATCTGGTCAGGAGGTTCTTCTGTCTTCCCTTCTCTGTGTCCTCATTCCAAACCCCCCCAGAAATCAATTAGTATTACCTAAGAAATAAACCGAATAGCAAATTGAATAGGTACATTTTCCTCAGCTGTATATGCACAAATCTTGCCAACATGTCTGATTGCGTTACTTGAATCAATGTAAAATTAAATGCAGGGAAAATGATTCCTAACTGGCCCTGATCAGCATAACGTGTGGAACAGCCTGTGCTGTCAAAGAAGGGGAGTCACATGTGGTGGCCTTTGAAGCCAAGCACAGTTCATCTCCTGGAACCTGCAGCAGCTTTCCTTGGAGAAAGTGAAACAAATACTCTGTTTTCTGAGGTAATTTATGCTGGCAGGGACATCTACTCAGGAGCTGGCTGAGCATCAGTCGGTGGTGAACGATCACTTTTTTTCCCGGTTCTCTCTCTCCCTATCCCACTGCTGGGGGGAGTGAGGGAGTGGCCCTGTGATGTTTAGCTGCCTGCTGGGTTAAGCCCCAACAAAGGTGAAGGGCCTTTCTTCTTTGTCTTTCGAGAAGGATTTAAAAGCTGGAGAGAAAATGTGAATCCCTAGAGATGGAAACGGTGGTGCTCAGCACTGGGGGCCTGCTTTTGGCTGTGGAAGTAGATGGTTGGTTAGGAGGGAATATCATCTCTGAAACAGTGAAGATGACTGAAGTGTGGGGTGATGTATCATGGATGACGAAGGAGTTTCTATGTTTTAGCTGCAGTGACCTTGAAGCTCTGAGAAGGGGGTGAAGTGTTAAAATGAGGTCTGAAAGCAGCAATAATACTGAGATCTCCTAAACAATGCAATATTCAAGGAAGGCAATACATTGCATAAGGTAATGAACAGATTTACAGACTTGGAAAATGGTGAAGAAGAAAAACGCATTTAGGTTAAAAACAAGGAATGAGTTTCTGGATGAGTATGAGCATACATCCTACCCAAGGGAGAGGTTGGGAACACTGTGTGAGTGCCTGCTATAAGACCAATCTCTGACTTGGAAACCCTTTGGAAGTGACATTAGGCCTAATTATGTGAATGCTCTGGCTGTTTTAGTAAAAAGTTTCGGCACAGTTTGTGAAACACTCACTCCAGAAACCACTTCAGACATGAAGTGCTCCAAACTCTCATCAGTCTGTGAATTTTGAATGTGCCAGGCAGTGCTGAGCATGTCCCTTGGGTGAGCACGTGGGCCTTGGCCTGCAGGGTTCATTAAACTGAAGAGAGGACTGATAAAAACATCTGTGGAGAAAATGCACCAAAAACCAGTGGGCTTGATAGTCTGTGTTTTAACAATATACTTGTAGAATGAAGCAGGGTGGACACATAAGTAGTAGTGCTAATTATGGATTCCCTTCCTGCACTGATTTTTGCCTTAGAGTTTTATATGAAAAGACATTTTGGGAAAGCTGGCATGTGAAGATGGGCAGCCTTGTGCTGTTATTAGGTGCTCAGAAGATATTCTCAGTCTTCTAAGGAGCAATAGCACATAGTATAAAACAATAAAAGAGCAGTTCCAGACAGGCTTGGGAGTCACTGTGAGTAAATGAAGTGGGCAGAGCAGAGCCACAGAGAAACTGCAGACAGGAGACGAGTAACACAAGCTATAGGAAGTTGATGTAAGGACCAGAGGAGAGATATCAGAGTTATGAAAAACAGAGATGAAGATCTCTGTTGGAGCCTGGGTTTGGTGAGTATTCCCTTTGGTGAGCCAGAGTTGGAGCAGTGCCTGCTAGTGCAAGAGCCAAACCAGTGAGTGAGGCTTTGGGGTATGAGGATTCGGAGGTGGGAAGCTGAGGTCACCTGGACGTAGTATCCTAAGAATGTGATATGATCTCACTGTAGTAACCTTGCAGTGACAAAGAAATTTTGTTAAAACCGACAATATATAATATCTCGTTTCCAAATGCTATACAGATGTTTTCTCCTCAGGATGTTGCTTACCAGTCGATATCTGCTAATTTATTTCTTTGCCTGGAATATTCTTCAGTGATACTCCATCTTTTGCTTTTGTCTTTTTCAAAAGTGGAATTACAGAGACATGCCTGACTATTTCCATAGGTAAAAGCAGATCCTATTTCTATTCCAAAGTATCATATTACTGATTTGGATCATTTTTGCTCTGATCTCTTTCTCATCTTTAACTGAAAGCTCTCAAGGACAAGTGTTTTTCTTAAGTACTAATTATTGTATGATTCTTAATCATTACTACTAATTACATCCTTTTCAAGCATGGAATTTCTCAGCACCTCCATGCAGAGGTCAGTAGGAGGGTTACAGCATGATTGCTCTCCGAAGTGGAGCACTTCTGTGATTTCCATTTTCAAAGCATTGAAGCTGAACCAAAAGTTAGGCCTCTATTTTCTGTCATTGCACTTCCTTTCACTTCAGTGACAACTAAGCATGTGACAGCTATGGCCCCAAACCTTGAGGACTGTTAACACACATCTTGTCTTAGTGACTCAGCCTCTTTCGTTTATTTATTTGCCTCTCTTGCACCTTTTTAATAAGCTGTATTTCTTTCAAAGGGAAAAAATACCAAACCCATACACTGTTATCAAACACAGAGGAATGCCAAGTGAAATTTTCAGAGAAGCAGAGCACGGGCATCCCTATCTTTTAGATCACTGAAAGATCCATTTTGTTACTTGATAAAGGGTAATATCATCAACTACCAGATATACCAATGAGATAATGCTATGCTCTGAGACAGCCACCTCTTCCCTAGGGAAGGAATGGGGGAAAAGGACATTTTCACATCAGCTTTCCGGTAGGTAAACCAGAAAATCATCTGTTGTGAAATTTGTCTCTCATAGAAATAGGAGGTAGGATTTGTGTCTGTGTGATACATCAAATGGGGCTCAGTGCAGAACAGTGGGTTGTGTCTGGGGTAATGCACTTCTGCAGCACTTGTTGAATCTAATCAAGAAATCACTGAGGGTGATCTCAGAATGTCTCTCTCCATTAAGGATGCTCTGGAAGAAAGCCATTTTTCTCCCATTTTTTTCCAGGGAGAACGAGGCTCACGCCTTTATCTCCTTGTGCATGCTTTTTACTGTCATGATTTTTGTTTCCCTCTGGTCTCAGACAAACAAGGTTTTATGTGCCCATGCAGGGGAACCATCCTGGTGGGAAATGACTCCACCAACCTCTCCTTACCCACCCGACACACTATATTTTCCAAAGGCTCCTCTGCAGTGTGTCCCAGAAGCTGACAGAGGGGGAGGAGTACAATTGTCACCCCGGCAGAACTCATGGCTACCTCAGGCTCTGATGCTGTGGCTGGTAAGGAGTTTTTGTGGCCATTTCACTCTGCTGTACCCAGCAGCTGCTGCCTCTGTTCTGCCTGCAGTCAGCTCTGCAGCACCCACCCTCATGGGAGGGATTGCAGAACTGAAGGAAAAAATATGTTTTCCCTCTCTTCCAAGGCAGACTGGTATAGAAGTTGACTAAAACTGAAGAATCCCAGGCAGATTGCCTCAAATGTCTTCACTGCTCAGTTGTTCAATATTCAGCTTATTTCACTGGCAGGGCCAGAATCACTGTCCTCCCCCATCCCATCAGCAAAACCAGTTTGTCTAAATGTGAATTAAGGTGGGGAAAAAAAAGGCTTTTAAATCTTTGTTTTACAGGAAAGTGGACACAAAAGGTCATGAGCATATTTTTCACCTTAACAAGTTACCTCTCAACTAAAATTATTTTATTTGTTAATGTTGTTATTTTTTTTTAATCTGGGAATCTATTTTGTTCGAGCGATTTGTAGCCCTGAGAGGGATTTGCAATGCAGCTGCAGAAAACACCAACCACAGTCTAATGGTGTGTCAAAGAACATAATTAGATATTAAGACAGATGATATAGGCATCATTATAGGCAATTTAGAAAATAGCAACCTGGTAAACTCCCCCTCAGTTGAAGATTA